TCTGGGCCGTCCGATCGCGCCCACGTGGATCGCCAACGTGGCCCGTTCAAGAGCGACGTGGTCTTGCCACGTGGCAGGCCCCGGTTGGCCGGGACTGCTGACCGGGCCTGCTGACGTGGCTGCCGACGTGGCCTTTTTTTTTTCCTCGGTCCGGGCGCTACACCTTGAAATACACCCCCCCAAATAAACTAGATATACCTAGAAAGCATAAACTATACTATAAAAGGCTTACACCTTATCATCCTTAAAAACTAAACAACATTGTATAAAACACAATTCTTTGTTTTTTTAATAATGTGGGTTGCTACTATTATCGTCAAAACTTCAAACAAAATTTAGATTAATCAAATGTTAAATTTTAAAGAAGTATATTACTTCGTCGCGTGATTATTTTATTATTGTATAAATTTAATATGAATTAATAGTTATATGTTTTCAAAATAAATAGACTTCTTTAATTATGTAATCATGATAAGTCTTCTTTACTCCTATTTTTTTTAATAGAGAATTTACTCCATCTTCATTGTTTTAGATTAAGTGAAAATACGTAATCCTAATTCTGTTGGGAGAAAGAAAGCAATTTTCTCTCTTACTACACGTAATAACAACAACAATAACAATATTATAAATTTTAAAATGTTAAAAAATAAACGAGAATAAAATTCGAACTCGAATCGTTTATTTTATAATAAAAATATTATATCATTTTAGATAAATTCTGTGTAGTAAATCTAGTAATTTTGTTTTATTGTTTCTTGTTATTGAGAATAACATCAATTATAAGAACTTCAGCATATGGAACTATCTCAAACATACAGAAACCGCCCTCCTATGTTGATTCTCCAGTCCTTTTTTTCTTGATTATCAAGAAAATAACACCGGGCAAAGGACAAAAGCAGGATTAGCAGATGCTATCAAAAGAGATGCATTTGAAACTCTCTCTCCAAGAACATGATTTGGCAGTTCAGTATATATTAAGTTCCTTTCAAGGGCTTAGCCCCATATAAAAATTTTATTTGTAAAAAATGGAAAATAGGAAGGGCTTCTGCTAGACTTCCATCTCTGCTTGCTCTTTCTTCTTATATTTCACATCCCCAAATATTGAAGGGGAAAACATGAAGATATATCATTACAAAACAGAAGCTGAGGTAGGGTTTACAACAACAATATGCCGAAGCGGGTGATCAACATCGCTGCCACCAGCATGCTTGACAAACTCTGCAGGAGACAGAAAACAGCCATGGCAAACACACATTATTCTCACTTCCTCTCCCCTCCCATATTTATACAAAATACCTTCTATCCTTTTCCCATCAGGACCATCTCCTTTCGTGAAGACACAAGGCATTTCTTCCATTGCATTTGTCCCAATTTCTTTCCCCCTACTTCCTGCAGAAACAAGTTTCTTGGTTTCAGTTTTTTTAGATGGATTATCTATCTCCGGTTGGGAACTTCTCGATGCCCCGTCATTCGTCTTTGTTCCTGAAGAACCCGCAGGCTCTTGATTAGTTCTTTCTTGCAAGGCTGGTGTACTGGCACCGCTATGTGCTTCACAACTGCTTGATCCTGTAAGTGAAAAAAGAATTTAAGAACACTAATGCTAGCAAGATATTCCTCTTTTCACTCACTCATCCTTTGGCAAGAATGAACCTTGCAACATTCCAGAACTCCTCAATAATATAGAAGATAACCGAAATCAGCAAGCAAATAAGCAACCAAGCCAAGGATGAGCGCCCATGGGTTGAGCTGAGTCAAGTAGCAAGAATTCAGACTTTGCTCAAAGTAAAACCCAACAATTTCCTATCTTACCTCTTTAAGAAAGAATCTTAGCTCTAGTTGTAAGAAAAATTTAAGCACTCAAACTTAGTTTTAACTTATTCAAACAACGGAATCAGATTTGAGCTCAACTTGAAGCCTAACAATTGAGCTGGAGCTCAATATTTAAAAATAAAATAGTTTCATCTCCAACACTTCTTCCATATGTATATATAGATTAAACATGTAGATGATATTATTATTCTTGGCTTTGGCTCAAATGTCACCTATTAATTGGGCTTAATCATTAATGAATAGTTTACTTCATCAAACAATCCAAGCGCTGATCAGTCAATTGAGCAAGCTGGGGGAGAGCTTGCAAGTAACTTTGCTCATAGGTGTTCAAGTTAAATTACAATTCTTCTAGTACCATAAAGCATACTTCTAAGTAACCTCATTATGGTCAATTTTAGAAAAGCCAAGGCATTAAGGAATCTCAGCTCCAATGCCATATAAAGTGTCACCATATGTAAGCAACTTCCAAGAAAAAAATTTCTCATTCTCAGTATGAGCCTAGAACCAGCCATTTCAACTCTCAAATATCCACATCAAAACTGACTAGATCTCACATTTACATGTTCTTGAAGAAAATATGCATGACTGAAAATGCACTTGCTATTTCAGCATGCTGCTCTTTTGCCAAAATTTCACCACCAACTCACCCAGAAAAAAGCACTTCATCTAGGCATTGAACACACCAGTATCCCTGAACTAAGTAAAACGTAATCACTAATGACATCTAATTAAATTACCAATGATAAATACCATCCAATCAGTTTTCTTATAATTCCCACTATCTAAAATAGGCTTTCATCAATTACTAAAACCATAATCCTCACAAACGTCAGACCAATCAACAGTAAATATCTGTGCTTCTTTTCAATATTAGTTTATCATCAAAGCTTGATAACTATATGATCACTGTACCACCCTAAAATTTTGTTGATGCGCCTGGCTGCTCTTCCCGAAACAAATCTTAGATAGCATTTGGTAATATTAAACATCAAAAGATACAAAATGGTATAGGAACAACATTTAGACAATACAAGAGAAACAGTATCTGCATTTAGTGTACTTTTTTGTCTGGTGTACCAAAGACAGGCAGGACAAGTAATGTATCTGAGTTCCTGTATTCAGTCTCATTTCACAAATCTGGAATCACAGCTAGGTTTTAAGATCGTGCCACCCAGATCACAAAATGCTCCAGTATCCTAAGAAGTAGCTCAAGTTCTCAGAATGCACCTCTGGTCCAAAACAGCAGGATTTCTGAGATAGTATCCAAGTCCATACCATCCGAGTACAGAACACACCTGGGTCTGAGACCCCCTAGTCTAGGGAAGGTAAAATTTTAAAAAGTAAATGTTCTTCAAGTTACGTTATATCAAGGTCAAATATTTTGTCCCAATGGAAACCATATGTTGATGATTGTTTGTCTCATAAGCACCATGGTAACAGTGATACAAGTAAATTGCATTCATAAGCACCCAAGAGCATCATCATTCTAGCACTAGCACGGAGCGAAACCTGTTCACAAACAGCTTGGGCTCAATTTCACTCGAATTCAGCTTGAAGTTTAGTTCAAATGAATTTTTGAACAGAAACTTTGATCTTTTTTTATAGACTCGTTTGTCCTAACTAACTGAATTCAACCAACAAGCATTTAGTTTGAAAA